CATTTTTAAAATTCAATTAAAAAAAGGGTCATGATTGAGACCCCCTCCCATCACCACCACTACTATCCCCACACACACGTGGCGGGTGGTGATTGGAGGAGAAGGAAAAATAAAAAAAAGAAAAAGAAAAATTGGCCAATCATGTTGAGAGGGGGTCAAAGGGGGTTGGGGAAAGGGGGTCTTAAACATTATTGTTAAAAAAATTTATTATTAACAGAAAATAACATTAATCAATTTTTTCAAATTTTAATTTTAATTTTAATTTTAATTTTATTTTAAATATTTAAATAATGTAAATAATCTACAAAATTGAATAAGTAAAAAATTTAAAATAAATATTCAAAAAATTATTTTAACAAAAAAATTTAAAAATTTTGTTTTAAATTTAAACAATTTAAAATGTTAATATTTTAAATTTAAAAACAACTCTACACTCAAATAATAACTAAACACATAAAACAAAACTCAATTAAGAAATTATTTTTAAAACTCATAACCAAACACATAACTCGAAACTCCGTATTACTTTCATAACTCTACACCCAAAACGTAACCAAATACATAACAAAAAAATTAAAATATTTAAAAGTATTTTTATAAATTAGCGTTTGAATTGATTTTTATAAAACATTTTAAAATTTAAAAAATTAAAATCGTAATGTTTTGAAATTAAAATATTTAAAAATATTCAAAAAATTAAAAATTTCAAAAAATCGTAACGTATTTAAATATTAAAATATTTAAAATCTTAACAAAATTAAAATATTGATTTGAATTAAGTTTTGAAAAAAGTTTTGAATTATGTGTTTGGTTATGAGTTTTGAAAAGTAATGATTATGTTTTGAATTGAGTTTTGAGAAATGGGTGTAAAATTATGATTTGAAAGCTCAAAACAAACAACATACTCAAATCAATGGATGAAACTATAATTTGAGAGTTGTGCCAAACAGAACCTTATATCTTTTCTTCGTGTTTTCTTCAGTTTATTGCAAACCAGCAAATATGCTCTCTTTTCTTTCAATATTCAGTAGCTTTTACTTTGTGTTTCATCATGTAATAATGGCTAGGACGATAGGTTGCATGCATGTTCATCTATGTCAACTATTTCATTAGTTTTTCATTTTATTTTACATGTTTTGTTTCGTTTATCAAAATAGCATGTTTAGGCTATATTAATCATGTAATATTCATGCATATAGCCCTGTTTAATCATTTTATAATATTCAACATATTTAGTTTTATGTATTAGTTGTTTTGTTTGCATTAAATCATGTTAGTAGCCATTAGACCGGCTTAGGTTTGCATTGTGTGTGTTTAGTTGCATGTTTAGGCTCAAGTGTATTTTACTTAATCATACTTTGCATGGTAAGACACTTGAAGTAGGTATCCGGGTAAGTCTTCTTGTCCTTCATTTTTTTTTTGATCGGCAAAAGAAAAACTTTATTGATGAAAAACATAACAAGTATGATAAGATACATCAATAAAGAAGAGGGTGCAAAAAGCATCACAGTGAAACATTTGGATCCCAACTAGGTTGGCACCTAAACGCACACCCAATCATCTGCTAGCACACACTTGAGGCTCCAAGATGGTGAGAAACCAACAAACAGAGCAGAACAAAACAAGACAAAAACAAAAAGACAACATCCATACACTAGCAGACCATCCCCAGCCACTGTCATCTCAGCAACCCTGCTCACCTTAACATATCAGAAATCTTCCACAGTTAGCATGCTAGCAGCCCAAATCTAAGACCAAAACCAATACCCAATAATGAAGCATTTTTGAACCTTGACAGACCAACATAGCACTCCACTAATTAACATCCATAATCTCTGATTGCACTAGTAGCAGTCCCAAGGCAAGGCACCAACCCACTCACACACAACAGAGGGCATACCAGTAGATGCTCAGATCAACTTTCTCAGCAGCCCTGTTCTACCCAGCAGAACAAATCAGATTAGCAGCTGCAGGCTAGGAGCCCAGAGGATGTATGCTTGTTTGGTTGCATTACTTTTCCATTATTCAAGTTTATGTGCTTTTTTGTGCAAAATTTTTTATTTTGGATGTTTTGTAAACATTGTTTATTTTCGGTTAAGTTTACGGCCATGAATCATAAAATCAATTTTTGTTGGAAATATGATTATTTTCAAAAAGATGGTTTTATTTTTTTAATAAAAAATAAATGATATTTATCTTTTATATTCAAATCATTTAGTTGATTAGGGTTAGTAAAGAATTACTGTTATATAATAAATTTTGTGGAATAATTAATTATTTAATATCATAAAATAAAAGGTTAGTAGAGGCCAATCAATTGGTTGGGCAAGAGGGGTGCATCAATTAACGACATTCCATTCTTGTACCTGAGTTCCCGAACCAAGAATATTTGGTTGTGACGAATTAGTGTCTTTATTTAGTTTTCATTGTTAAAGGTTTCTTATTTTCCCTTAAAAATTAAGTGATGACTCTATGTTGGTTAAAGCAAGTTGGCAAACGAGCCTAATAACCAAAAAAACACAACGTCCACACAATGTTAAGTGAATTTCATACCATGTCAGGGCCGATTTACATAAGGTCCAGGGGGTCACGTGCCCCCTATTTAGAATGAAATGCGAAAGGTTTTTTTTTTTTTTAAATTGTGAGATCATAGTGATTGTTTTTATTGAAAATGAAGGGAGCACAACAAATTAAATTCTATGAAAATTAATACAACGTTGATATTGATAGACAAACATATTTAATCTCACTATGCATATGTGAAAGTTAATGAATTTTTAGTTATGTTTAGCATGTAGGATTTACTCTCTATATGTTTCTTTACTATTGATTTGTGATATCATATATCAATTATGATGTAATATAACAGTTATATTAAATTTTTACTCAAATGATTTAAAAATATGAAATATATTGAATCAAACTTAAAAATTTATAAAAATTGATCAATATTTGTTTTAAAACCCAATAAATATGATCATAGAAAAAAAAATTGTGTATCGGTAAGTTTTTTTCAAATTGTGCGAAAAATAAAAAAATTCACGGTTCCGATTACCGCAACATTACACTACGGCCTTTACACCCCGCAACCGCAACCGCGCCACCGCCACTGTTACGGCGACCGCAACCGCTTTTCAGAACCTTGGTTATATAATAAATTTTGTGGAATAATTAATTATTTAATATCATAAAATAAAAGGTTAGTAGAGGCCAATCAATTGGTTGGGCAAGAGGGGTGCATCAATTAACGACATTCCATTCTTGTACCTGAGTTCCTGAACCAAGAATATTTGGTTGTGACGAATTAGTGTCTTTATTTAGTTTTCATTGTTAAAGGTTTCTTATTTTTCCTTAAAAATTAAGTGATGACTCTATGTTGGTTAAAGCAAGTTGGCAAACGAGCCTAATAACCAAAAAAACACAACGTCCACACATTGTTAAGTGAATTTCATACCATGTTAGGGTCGATTTACATAAGGTCCAGGGGGTCACGTGCCTCCTATTTAGAATGAAATGCGAAAGGTTTTTTTTTTTTAAATTGTGAGATCATAGTGATTGTTTTTATTGAAAATGAAAGGAGCACAACAAATTAAATTCTATGAAAATTAATACAACGTTGATATTGATAGACAAACATATTTAATCTCACTATGCATATGTGAAAGTTAATGAATTTTTAGTTATGTTTAGCATGTAGGATTTACTCTCTATATGTTTCTTTACTATTGATTTGTGATATCATATATCAATTATGATGTAATATAACAGTTATATTAAATTTTTACTCAAATTTTATACAAAAAAGTTATTTTATTGTTACATAATTTATTTTAAAACTTATATATATGTATATCATTTTTTTTTTCTTTTTAACATTTTCCATGATACACTAATTATAAGTAACACAATATTTTCGATCTTTTTCATGGTCAATCGTAAAATTTCATGTGAAATACTTTTGTAATAATTTATTTAAGTTTTTGTGCTTAATATTAATTCAAAAATTATTATTATCTTATTATTGTTGGTTATGTGAAAAATAAATAAATAAAATAAAATTATAATTAATAAATGCCCCCTATTGTGGGGGCCGAGAAGAGGGAGTCATAGAGATTTTGGATAGTCGAATCTCGGAGAGTCGAGATTCGAAGCACACGGCAATTGGCTCGCAAACTCAAAACCAACCCTATTCGGCCAAATAACCGATTAGGCAACGGGCCGAGTGAAGGTCGGTCTATTATAAAAACTCAAAACCAACCCTATTCGGCCAAATAACCGATTAGGCAACGGGCCGAGTGAAGGTCGGTCTATTATAAAATGTGCTGAATATGAGTTGGAAATGGACCTAATCCCGAGGCCCATGGAAGAAAAGATATAAATAGGAGAACATCAGCTAAAAAGAGATATGTGAAAATTGTTGTGCTTAACTTAGAATACAAGCATTCTTGAGTGTGGATTCTGACTTGTCCGTCGGAGTGCTAATTCCGGTATCTCGACCGAAGTGTTTATTCCTTTTCAGGTGACCAGAACAGGATCACGAGCGCTCTCCAAGATCTGAAGAGTATTTCCAAACCACATCTCCACACCTATAATTTAATTTTTTGGCTCTATCACTGAACCAATTCATATGTATTTACATATATTGTGTCTTAGTTAATATGTTTATTAGTATCTTAATAATGTTTTAGCGTTACTATAAATGCTTCTTGGACAACTAGCAATTTTCCATCTAAAAAAATATTATCTTAATTCACTTATAATCAAGGAACAGTGCAATTGATCAGTAGTCTATATCGTTGTCCTTTAAATAGTGAGAAAGTCAAATGTTTAAGATTTAAATTGATGGAAGACTGTTTGGTATAATCTAACATGTATATAAATGAATTAAAATAAGATAAGAGGATATTTTTGGAACGGAGTATCCTTGAACTCCGACCATTTCAAACTATTTTAATAACCATTATATCACTGAAGAAAGACATTCATTCTTATTGCTCATACTTCTTCCACAAAAGCATTGTTCAGTGTAAGCTTTATTACACATACTTTGGATACTAAGTGTGCATATATTACATGCACAATCTGATATTGCCTTGAAACTCATGGCATAGTAGTTACCTCTACAACACCATTTATTAGAGGCATATGACGTATATCTCTCTCTACTAGGAATTTGATTAGCTGCAACAAAGGTGACAGTTCTGAGAAACTAATCATCTGATCATTTTGGTCCTTCCTAGCTAGCTAGATTTCATAAAGCATCCCAATTTGCAATGTCTTTCCAGGGGGGACTTCAATCGATGCAACCGCAGACCTGCAATTCTTCTGGAAAAACCTGTACAAGCAGTCTATGATTATGTGATCGAACCAACCATTGGTCTTTTTCGACTTGAGAATAGTCCGACCAGTCACAAACACCACTCCCTCCTCCACCGCCACATCTAGTCTTTTTGCTTCTTCTGTTGACTCAGCGATCTCTGCCAGTTTAGCCACCACGGAGGCCACAAAGTCATCTCCTTCCATGCTCATCGAGTCCTTGTAACCGAACTGAACCAAACACCTGTACAACCCTTCAACCCCCAATTTCCCCACATCAAGTCTTTCCTCCGGGAGCACAGACTTTATCGGGAGAGTTCTTATGGTGACGATGATCATAGTTTTGCGGACAGAACTCGTGTGCTGAATGTAGTGTCGAATGATTGGGGGAATCCCATTGACAAGGTCGGTGAAGAAGAAGCAAATACCGGGTGGTCTATGAAGACTAGGTTTTGATAGCATTTCTTCTAATTCAACTGATTTCAGTTTCCTTTCCATGTCGTATGCACTCTTTCTGCTTCTTCCTGTTGTCCAGGACAACATGATTACCAAGAAGAAGGCTGAGATAGCAAATGGTACCCACCCTCCTTGTGGGATTTTGTTAAGCAAGGATGTCATGAATATGCCTTCAATCACCATAAATGGCACAAAAAATGCAATTATGAGAAAAATATTTGTGTCCCAAATCACTAGCATCACAAGAGTCACCAAACATGTCGTTATGATCATCACCCAGATAACCACAACACCTGTAAACAAAACATCACAAGTTATACGCGCTCGCTGAAGCAGGCAAATGCTATATACCCAGAAAAAGTATCGTGATTGTGATTGGTGAATGAATGGTATAGATTTCAAATTTGCAATTGAAATTCAAGAGATGGAAAAGAGGAAGATGAAGATGATGAGGATATATACCGTATGCATTTCCTATTTCAGTACCGTTCCTGAATCCTACGACCAGGGCGACGCAGATAATCATGAGAATATAGTTGATTTCGGGAGAGTAGACTTGCCCTTCATGCTTGGAGGAAGTATGCTTCATGTTAACCCGAGGGAAGCAACCTAGGGCTAGAGACTGCTTCACAATAGAGAAGCTTGCCGATATCATGGACTGGCTAGCAATAATTGCAGCCAAGGTAGCTATGACGAACATTGGCCAGTATACCAAATGCGGAATGGCACTGTAGAAGGCATTGTGTATTTCATGAGGATTTTTTATCAAAAAAGCTGCTTCGCCTGCATACGTGATGACCAGTGCTGGGTATACAAATGAAGAAAAGGATAGCTGCAAATCCATTTTTATCAAATTGAGTTAGCGATCTCAAAAGAAATTAGAACTAGATATTTATATTTATTTATTTTTTTCATTCACTACCTGAATCGCCCTTTTATTAAAGTGGCCCAAGTCAGCAAACATGGCTTCACCCCCTGTTCCATGTTTAACAAGTTACATTTTGTTAACAAATCCTCCTTTTTTAATAAGAAATCATACCCCTTATTTTTTTAGTCAAAGAAAATCTTATACCTGTTGTGCACAAGAATATTGCACCGAGGACTGTCCATCCAGATCGGCCATTTCTTGAAAAGAATATGAACGCATACTGAGGTGACAGGGCCTTCAATATGGGTGGATAGTACTTAAAGATATTGTAAATACCAATCACGGTATTTGTAGCAAACCACAATAGCATGATTGGGGAGAAAGTGAACCCAACTTTAGAGGTCCCGAATCGTTGGAAAAGGAAGAGGATGACCAGAAGTACAACAGCTATCATAATAATATAATCTAAGAGAAAATAAAGACATGAAACCAGGGTCAGATTTTGTAATTGAAAAGTTAACTCTAATTGTGATGGTTTCCAGATGTTACAGTAGTGAAGCTTACTCTGTGTTATCTTTGTGGAAAGAGATTGAATTCCTTGAAGGGCTGAGAGAACTGTGGCCAAAACAAAAATAAACTGTTTCATAAATTTATTTGTTTATTTATTTTGAAAATTCTCAGCATTGAGAGAGAGAGAGAGAGTGAGAGAGAGAGAGAGAGAAATGGAAAAACAATATCTAATAGAGAGAGATATATATGCACTTTTCAGAGTGTAGAGCATACCACTAGTGGCAGGAGTGAGAGCGCCATCGCCAATTACCATGCAAGTTCCGAGTAGTACAATGAAAGTCAGGAAGTTCTGAACTGCTGGGCTGCTCTCAATGAAATGCTTGGTCTTGGATTTGATGGCACTTCCTTCGGTGTAAAATCTTTTACTAACATCAGTTGCTAATCTTGTGTTTTGAATGGAAAGCTTAGTTTTGAAATTTATATGCCGACAGAGAAATGAATATAATGCAAAAGTACCGCCTTCTCCATTATCATCTGCTCGAAGAACAATGAAGACGTATTTGATGAGAGGGATGAGAGTCAAGGTCCAAAAGATGAGACTAAAGATTCCCAGTATATCATCTTCAACAGGGTCCTTGAATTCAACAGAAGATAGCACATAGAGAGGAGATGTTCCAATGTCCCCATACACAATTCCTAGAGATTGGTAAGCCAACAACAATGTTTGCAATGGAGTATAGTCCTACAAAGGGAAGTTAATTTCATGTATTGCATGACTTCAAAATAACAATAACAATAATAATAATAATAATAATAATAATAATAATAATAATAATAATAATAATAATAATAATAATAATAATAATAATAATAATAATAATAATAATAATAATAATAATAATAATAATAATAATAATAATAATAATAATAATAATAATAATAATAATAATAATAATAATAATAATAGATGCAACAAAATAGATGTGCGACTTTGGTTTATCAATAATAGAGAAATTACAAATCCATTTACTTTCTATTCTTTTTCTTCATCATCTCCTTATATCGAAAACAAGAATGAATGGAGAATATGTGGTAGGCTACCTTTGGTTTATTTTGAGGTTGGTATTTCTTTTGAAAATTCATGTCTCTCTCCAAGTCTTTTTCACTAGGTTGCTGGTTAGTGAAGCCATTGCCCCGTTCAAGGTCCTCTTCTGTCTTGGGACCAACAACTTCATGATCTTCCGGTACAGAGCTCATTCTATTTGAGGCTCTCAAAATTGAGAAGATAATAGACAACAAATCCAAACCTTATTATGCAGTTATACCATATGAATGTGAAAGCATTGTATGTGCTAGCTAGCTGGGTATAGTTTAGCAGCAACAAGTAATCACATAAGTGAACCTTGAATGGTCAAGTCTCTTTGTTTTCTTTTTTTCTTTTTTTCTTTTTTTCTTTTTTTTTCGTTTCCTTGATATTAAGTTGAGAGGAGTTCTTTAATTTGAAGTAAAGGCAACTTTCTTCTGACTCTTAATAATAGGGACTTCCGAGGAATGTGCAGAAATAAAGTGAACCAAAGCCGAAAAAATGGTCAAAAGAGACTTGGTCATAGTAAATAGCTAACAATGCTCAGAGTCTCAGGTTTTGATCACAAAGTAGTTGCATTCCTCAAACTGTCATGGGCTTGTAGAAGTTACTTTCATTGGTCTCAAAGCTTTCGACTGCGCAAATCAAGGAAAACAACTCAACTGATCTTAGATGTTAAATGTATATACCATTACTTTCCTTTTATTTTTGTTGAGTATATAAACTTATTTGGAAAAATAACCAATAAATCTTATTTTACTCTTACGATTACTATCAACTCCTATCAAATTTTAATATGGACAATTAAATCCTATTTTTCGTAGCATTTTTCTCAAAAAGATTGTTATTCAAGATTAAAAATTAGACCAAATTTCAAATCCAGTGATATGACAATCAACTAAAAAAATAACCAATCATTTTCCTTTCCAAAAAATTCATTGCTCCATAATAGTGGATGTTATCTCAATTTTACCCCTTATTTAATATGAACAACAATTTCATAAATATTTCTAATCTAAGTAAAATAATTTTTTTAATTGTAAAAATTATGATATTGTATTAAAAAAAATCATAAATCACAGTGAAAAATTATCAAAAAGTTCTATTTTGTTTTGAAAATTATTGAGTTATATCAAATTTCAATATTAACAAAAAAAATCCTTTTTTTTTTATAAATTGTTATAAAAAAATTCAATTCTCCATAATAGTATTTTTTTTTCATTTTATCTTTTTCATTAAAATATGAACAAAAAATTTCATAAAAAATATAATTTATTAGAAATTATATAATTAAATTATTTTTAATTGTTCAAATTAAATGATTTTTCATAAACAAAATTATAAGTATAAGATTAATAATTTTTACAATTAAATTTTTAAATTTTAATTAAGTTCAAATTATTTATAAAATTATTTTTCATATTAAATAGGAAGAGTAAAATTGGTATAAGACCCACCATTATGAATAGGAGTGGCCATAGGGCTAATCGACCCGTACAAACGGTCTGATCCTATCCTATCCGCATGTTTTTGGGTAGTTTCAAGGGCTACGTATAGACAGATACCGATGTAGTTTTGGCTTAGTTTGCAGGTTACGATTTATGCCGCATGAATCCAACACGCCCACACAAATGATTGGAAAAAAAAAAAAAAAAAATTGTTCTTACCCTAGCGCAAGTAAAGGGCAGGAGTCACTTTTATTTTTTTTGTTCTTACCTTAGTGCAAGCAACGCAGCAACAAAGTAGTCCAATAGTCACTTTTCATTCTTTTCTCATCTCTCTCTCTCTCCATCGACAAAGCAGAAGCAGCTCAATGCAGTAACAAAGTAGGTAATATATATATGTGCATGTTTTGGCCTATTAAAACATAATATATGATAGTAGACAAGTCAAAAAAAAAAAAAAAAAAAAAAGAGTTAAAAAAAAAAAAAAAACCCCAAAAACATAAAAAAAAATAAAAATAAAGTACAAGCATAACCTACTCAAGTGATCCGCACCCACAAATATCCCGATTAATCCACTTGCACAAACCGTAACCCGTAATTTGGGTAGATTCAGGTCCATTTTTTATGACTCACACCCGCTCAAAACCGGCCCGCGAGCAACCCTAATTATGAAGTAATAAATCTTTTGAAAACTTTTTATCACAAATAGAACTTAGTTGTCTATATTGGAACTTGATAAGATTTATTAGTAATCTTAAGAACAAAATATTGGTTATTTTCCCAACTTATTTCATTAGGATGGGTCTGGGCTTCACTATTGTGCTGCCTTATAGGCTCATTTTGGATCCATTTAGATGATCCAAAAGTTTAGCATACTTGCAAAAAATCAAGTTAATTCACTATTAGTAGTTATTTTATCAAATCACATTTGTATCTTAAAAAATAAGTGAAATAGTAAGTATAATTTGAAGTATAAAATTAAATATAAATATGATTTGATAAAAAGGTTATCGATATACAATCAACTTGATTTTTTACAAATATATTTTACTCGATATACTTGAAAAAGTGAACAGTTCAAATTATCTAAATGTGTCATGAAATAGGAGTGATTGTTGCGCGTGCACCCACTTTGGGCAACAACCATCCCAAATCCGTTTGGGATCAACCAAAAAGAGTCATTTTGGGGGGGAGGGGGAAATTGTTACTTTTTTTAGTCCGTCTAGTATTTGAAAGATCTAAGAAAAAAATAAAAATAAAAATTTAGTAAAAATAAAATACTAAAAAAATTGAAAGAACCAAAAAAGAGTTACACCTGTGCACTGCGATTTGGACTGTCTGAAAGTAAAATTACAAACTGAATGGCGGATTAACGAATTAGCATATTGGCAAATCACGGTTTGGCGCGGTTTTGGACGAATTGAAAGATTAAAGAATATTCTAACCAATTATCAAATATTTGTATAATATATAACACTAATTTGCATAATATTCTTTATATATATAACACAAACTAATTTTACATAATATGCTTCATATATATAATTATTAATTTGTAACAAATTTCTTAAATCTCTCCCAGACTCATTTTTACTTTGATATTTCATTGGATGTTATAAAATATATATGTACTAACTATAGTGAAGCGGAACGATTTTAAAGGTGAGTTATAAATTTTAAAATTTAATCCGTGATTAGTGAATAGAGTAGTACAAATTAATACAAATTGATACAATTTTAATGAATTAGATGATATTTTATACAGCCGTTTACGTACACACAATTTACGTTAAAAATACTCACTATCCCTCCGGTAATAATATTGTCACCCATAATAAATATAAATAAATGAATAAGTCAAAGTTTCTAATTTCATAGATGGGCCCATATCAAGCTGTTTGTTTCCTGTTCCAGCGCTTCAAATGGACCAATAACTCCCCAGGCCTACAATACTCTGCTTTAAGGAGAGTCTAATGGGCTTCCCACATGAAGGCTGAGGCTTTATAAAAAAAATCAACGAAAAATTACTATGTTGTCTTATGTAGGGGATCTATTTCCCTTCTAATCCCAATATATTTTTAATAGATTAAAAGGTCTACAGTTTTTAAGTTTTATACCAGAAGTTCCGTTTTTTATTTTCGTATTTTGTAAATGACTGTATTACCCTTTGTTTTGAGATCTATATATACGTGAAAAATCAAATTTTTGCTCCGTTCAAAAAAGAAAATCAAATCTTAGTCTCTGCGATCTCGATTTCTTTTTGTTATGACGATCTCATTGTGCTGTGTGGTCGATCTCATTGTGCTGTGAGGTGGATCTGGTTGTGCGATCTGAATCTCTGTTTACAAGCGATCTCTGCGTACGTTCTCTCTCTCTCTCTCTCTCTCTCTCTCTCTCTGTGTATCTGGTTTGTATCTGACGATACATATATGTATGTGTATGTATGTATCTGTCGATACATACATATACATATACATATATCTCTATGTGTGTATACATATATGTATGTATATATAGATAAGCAAATTTGCGTGATATCTGGTTTGTGTTTGGCAATATTGTTTTTGTTCTCTGTTTTGTGATAAATTTTGTTTGTTTGATATTTATTTTATTTGATTTTTGTATGTGATATAGTGTAATGATTTTGATTTTGTTGATTTTGTTTGTTGTATAGTGTAATGTGTTTTGAAGTTGTAGTTTGGAATTGTGAATTCTGGTGTTTTGATACTGATATGTTATAAGTGTATAATTTTGCAGTTTGGAATTGTGAATTGTGCAGTGTTGGTACTGATATGTTGTAACTGTATAATTTTGTAATTTGAAATCTGTGAACAATTGTTTGTTGGTTTGTGATTTTGTAGTATGGAGGGGTGTTTCATGTTAATGTGCAAATACAGTAATTGTTGTGCTGCTATTAAGATTAGTGAGGGATGTAGTTATGATGAAGTTGTTGAGAAAATATGTGCGAAGTTTAAGGAGTTGAGTGTTGGTAACTTTTGTTTGTTTTTCTCTATTGCTGGATATTCTAATTGTATTGTTGAATGTGATGATGATTTGTGGAATATGCTGTCAATGGTAGGTGGTAGTGGTTGTCATGTTGTTGATGTTGTTGTGGGTGATAAGAGAATTATGGAGGTTGATAATGTTAATTCTTGTAGGATTGATTCTGTAATTGGTGACAGTTCTTTGGTTAACGATTGTGATGATTTTGGTGGTTTGTTGCCTAGTTTTTATCTAGAACCAGAGAGGGTTTTGTTGTCTGCTAGTTGGAAGGGGATTATACATAATGTTGGTCAAGAATTTGAAGGTGGAGTGCCGGCGTTCCACATTGCATTGGCTAAGTATGCAGTTGAGTGTGGTTTTGCAGTGAATTATTTGATGAACGATGCAACAAGAGTAACAGCTGAATGTATGATGAAGTCGTCTACGAGTTGTAAATGGTTTGTGCATGGAAGGGTGTTGATGAATTTCGGTATTTTTTTTATAATGAAGTTGGATAATGTGCATACTTGTGGGGTTGTGGCTCATAGATCTTGTAACAAAATGGTTGGTTCTAGACTTGTGTCTGATATTGTGCAAAATGATATTAGTGATAATCTGTTGACTCGTCCTATTGAAGTTAAAAAAAAGTTGAAGAAGCAATATGGTATAGATGTTTCTTGTCTGGTTGCATGGTTAGGAGTTAATATGGCAAGAGGTGGGTTGTTTGGTGATTTTGCAACTTCTTT